TCAATTATGTGAACGTCTCTTTTGGTTTTCGTATGAGACCAGAATCAAAACGTCTTGTAGATCCAAAACTAGGAGGAGGGGCTACACTAGATATTGGCGTGTATGCCATCAATTTTACCTCAATGGTTTTTGGAGGGGAAAAGCCAGAAAAGATACACGCAGAGGGAACCCTCAGTGATGAAGGAACAGATAACCTAGCAGCTGTTACCATTACTTATCCAGGAGGTCGTATTGCTCAGTTGTCTATTAGTATTAAGGCTGATTTACCTTGTGAAGCTTTTGTTTATGGTACCAAGGGGCAATTGAAGGTACCCAAATGGTTCTGGTGTCCAACAAAACTTGAAACACCTGAAGGTACTAAAGAGTTTCCACTGCCAAAGCCCTACCAGCCAACCAACTTTGCCAACAGTGAGGGGATGTGCTACGAGGCTGAGGAGGTACGCCGCTGTCTTCAAGAAGGAAAGAAGGAAAGTGACATAATGACATTGAATGAGACCCAACTGGTTGCTGATATCATGGACGATATCATGAAACAGCTTGGAGTGATTTATTTCAAGTAAAGTTTGAAAGACTGGTGTTGTATTTGAAACAAATAATTTTGGCTGCTTTTTGAATTTGTCAATAATAATTTTGTTTATAATAATGACAATAATAATAATACAATAATAGAGTTTTTAATGTGATTAGGATTAACATGACATGGTCATTTGTCTCAGGGATGTCTGATTTACTAGCGATCTACATTCTGATCTCTACTTTCTTGTTGGTTGGCCTTTATCTTCTTCCTCATTTCAAAGAAAAGCTTAATATTAACCATGATTAACACGACGACGAATCCTGCAACTGACAGTGCAACTATTACCATCATGTTTTTATCTTTAGATGAATATTCTGATGAAGAGTGGCCTGATCAAAATAATATTATGATTAAGACAAAATTTGCATTTTTCTTGTGTACCATTTTCATTGTTACTATTCAAGTTGGTATCTGATAAACAAAATCTTAAAAGTGAAGTAATTATTATAAATGAGTTTTACCTTCATCGATTAAGCCTTGGTCATCTTCACCTGATTGTAAATGTTATGAATCATTGTAATTCAATCATTGATATTGTATCTTACATTCATCTGTTGCATCTAATCAACAAAGTGAAATTACTATCATAATTAACTTATTATTTTACTTTCATAATCCTCCAAACTGCTAATTAGTGACACTGAAGCTAAATCTCCTTTTGTCTCTTATATATATATATAATGCAAAATAAAAAATTACAATAACCATATTTCTCATTATTTTCTGTAGTCCTTCTTACCCGATTTAGGATTACACTCAGACTTAACGGCTTGGATAACAGAAAGCAACAGGAGAATGGCAGTCAAAGTATTCAAAGAACACAGAAGCATCGTTATCTGCTCTTGCTGAAACTATGCTGAAACACTACACAGAGATTGCGCACCTGGTTTGCAAATTAAATTAAGCGCGCAATTTCTGCGCGCCAATTAATTATTTTCGGTAATTATCACGCCCACTTTTTGGTAAATTCTAATAATAATAATAATAAAGTATCTATGATTATACTATGGAACTATTGGTATATTATATAATTCAGCAGGCAGACAATAAACAGCAAGAATAATAATATAATAAACAAAATCAGCAAAGTCCTCAATAAGGAATGTTAAATGGATAGTGAGGGTGCCCTGCATCACGTGGGACTTGTTTACCATCCACCTCAATAGTGGGGAGACATGCCCTCCAATTCGTTTCAAGACCCAATAGTGTTTGCATTTCTTCCTGCGTTAGCTTAAAATCAAAAACCTACCAAAGGAAAAAAAGAATAAGTAATGCAGAGTCAATAAATACAAGGGTACTCTTACATCAAAATTACTTCTAATCCTCTCTGGAGTGACGCTCTTGGGTATGACCACAACACCTCTCTCAACTTGGAACCTGATGAGTACCTGAGCCACCGACTTGTTGTACCTCTTTCCAATCTCTGCTACCGTAGGGTTATCTAGTAGTACCGGCTCACCGGAGCGAGCCCATGGACGATCAGGAGAGCCAAGAGGACTGTAAGCTTGGAATACAATCTTATATTTTGAGATGTGATCAAGGAGACGCTGCTGATTGAGGTAAGGATGAGCCTCGCACTGTAGAACTGCTGGCTGGATACGACAGTTTGACATTATCTAAGAAAATGATTTTATAATCTATATTATTATAAGAAAATTTTTATCAGATCAAAAATTATCAAACTCTTGTGGCCAATCCTATCATATGAACACTCCTTAACATAATAGATACTCCTTCTCATTCATTAGAGATGTCAGGGTTTTATATAATTTATACCTTACCTCGTCAACTTGCTGACTGTTAAAGTTTGATAGTCCAATGTATCTCACTAGTCCCTCATCAACAAGTTTCTCCATTGCTCTCCATGTCTCAAGTGGTGGGACCGAATCGTATTGCATTGATCCATCAGGATTCTTGGGAAACTTATTGTCACCTAGAAAACAAAACAAGCATACATTACATTGACATATTTAAAATGCAAAAAAAACATAAAAATTTCTCTTTCATAGGTACATTACCTGGGACGAATGATATCGGCCAGTGAATGAGATAAAGGTCAATATAATCCAACTGAAGGTCTTTAAGAGTGTTCAGCAGAGCCGGACGAACATCAGATTCACGATGCTTAGTATTCCATAACTTGGAAACTATGAAGAGATCCTTTCTGTTGAGACCAGCACCTGAAAGAGGCAAAGCAAAAAGAAAGAGTTTCAAAATTGCACTGTTTGTTAAGTTTTTAATCAATAGGGAATTAAGTTGGTGTACATAAAAACTTTTGTGATACACAGGCCTGCAGGTTTTGGTAGACTCCTCCCACAGTGGACCATAAAAGCCATGTGCTAAGCAACCTCCCTCTTCTGCAATACAAATCTTTACCTATTTTTTCTTTAAGAGCATTTCCAACCTCTTGCTCATTCCCATAGACGTGAGCACCATCAATGAGCTTATACCCTGCATCAAGAGCAACACTGACTGCAGACTCAACCTGACCAGGCTTGCTTTTCCAGGTCCCGAGCCCAACCAGTGGGATCTGCTGTCCATCAAACAGTGACACGCTCATTGTTGACTCTTCTTCTTTCTCTTGCAAGCTATAGCTAAGGAATGAGTAGCTCAGAATAAGAGCAGCAGCTGTGGAAAGTAGAAAGATTGCAAGTAGGCTAGGAAGAAATAAAGTTCCGAGTGCAGGGCGGGGCTCGAGCATTTCTATTTATCCATTGCATTAGAAAATAATTTCGTATTTCAAAACTATTTTTAATTAGAAAAATGGCGGAAAGCAGCAAGAAAGAAAATGGAGTATCTTCTGACAAAAGTCAAGAAGAAGAGAAAGCAAAGTCAAAGGAAGAAAAGACAGAAGAACTTCCCGACACGTCATACAGAGCAAACTTGCCAAAAGCAATCTTTGTTGTAAGTCACATGGGGTGTCACGTGACATCACGTGACACGTCCTCTTTTCATTTCACATAGGAAGATGTGGATAAGTTTATGCAAGAACCAGGAAATTCATCGGCTGAGCAGGTCCTGAGACGATTTGACGAACTGCACACTAAATACAAGTTTATGGAATCTAATCTACTGGAAAAGAAAAGAAGGTGTGGCTTAGTTATAAAATTAATTATCATTATTCTGTTAATTATAAATTTTTAAATTATTTTTTTAGACTAAGGAATCGATTACCAGACATACAGAAAACATTAAATATGATAAAATACCTTAAATCGATACAGGTTTGTTATGATATCCACTCCTTTTAATAATAATTTGATAATTTACTCCAAACAAGCGACATTAATTTAATATTTTTGCTCCTCTTTCAACCATTCTTGCTATGTGTAGGGTTCCGATAAATCCTTTACGACGCATTATCAATTATCGGGTGGAGTTCATGGAACTGCTGAAGTACCACCGACTGATATTGTGTACCTGTGGCTTGGAGTATGTGACCATTATAAGAATGAAAGCTGTCTTTTATTTTAAGAAGTTAATTCACTATAGTTACTCTTTCTTCCCATAGGCTAATGTCATGTTAGAATACCCCATTGATGAGGCTATGGAGCTACTTACAAATAATTTAGACAATGCAGTGAAATCGTTAAATGGAGTAGAGGAGGATCTAGAGTACATCACGGAGCAATGCACCACACTTGAAGTTGGTGAGTATTTTTGGAAAAAAATGAAAAAATAGCATGGACTATAACCCATGGTTTTTTTCCAAAAAAATGGCTCCGAAATCACCCCAATTTTTTTTTAACTTTTCTGATGCATAATGATGTCCTTATGCTATGTAGAAAGTTTGAGATGATTCCGACTAAAAATTTTCAAGTTATGGCCATTTTTTAAAATGTTTCATTTTCTGAAAAAGACCCAAGGCTATAGCCCATGGTTTTTTCCAAAAAATGGCTCCAAAATCACCCCCAATTTTTATTACAATTTCTAATACATATTGATGTCCTTATGCTATGTAGAAAGCTTGAGGTGATTCCGACTAAAACTTTTTCAGTTATGGCCATCTTTAAAAATGTTCCATTTTCTGAAAAATACCCAAGGCTATAATAGCCCATGGTTTTTTCCGAAAAATGGCTCCGAAATCACCCCCAATTTTTATTACATTTTCTGATACACATTGATGTACTTATGCTATGTATCAAGTTTGAGCCAATTCAGACTTCAATTTTTTGAGTTATGGTCATTTTTTAAATGTACCAATTTCATAAAAATATCCAAGGCTATTATAGCCCATGGTTTTTTTTTTACAAAAAACGGCTCTGAAATCACCCTCAATTTTTATTAACTTCTCTGATGCATATTGATGTCCTTATGCTATGTAGAAAGTTTGAGCTGATTTTGACAAATATTTTTTGAGCTATAAGCATTTTTAAAAATGAGCCAATAATTTTTGCCTATAGCCTATAGCCTTTTTCAAAAAATGGCTCCTAATTAACCCACAATTTTAATTACATTTTCTGATACATATTCACATAGCTGTGTTTACAATCGTACAAGTGCACATACAGCATGATACATGTGTGTATGTGTATGTGTGTGGCATTCATATTTCCTTTACTAATGGCTAGTGACTCGTGTATTTTTCCACTAATCATTTGCAGTCACGCATGTTTGTACTTTGTAGTAATAAAATTAATCTTCATTAAAACTCGACACTACTTTCAATATCCCTGTAAAATTAATAAATTAATACTGTTAGTGGCTCCGTGCTTATTGGAATCTGCATTTCACCGTTGATCCAATTAGATCTGTAATTGTAATGATATTCACAAGATAATCAGACCTCAGCAAGACTAAATTAGATTACAGATGTAGTTTAGTGTATTTCATGTACTTTAGCTGCTAATTGCTAAATATATATTTAGTCTGGTATGATCTCTCTCTCTCTCTCTCTCTCTCCCAATGTAGCAATGACTAGGGTTTACAACTGGGACGTGAAGGAAAGAAGAGAGAAGAAATTGGCTTCCCTTCAACAGCAGCTCCAACAATGAAGATAAAGATAATAATAAACAATAATGTGAAGAGCAGGCTTTTTACTTAGTGTGTTATAATGTCAATAATTATTATTAATGATAGAAAAAATAATGATAATGATATAATTGTGGGCGTGGGAGACATTGTATTAATGATATTCATGAAGTACATTGTATCTCCAGTGGGTGTGACTTACATGTATCTAGCTAATCAAGAAATCTTTTAACTTGATCCTCGACTTTATCTGAAGTATTACATCGAGTAGCAGGCTTAAAGAATAGAGGAATATCTGTATTTCTGCTCTCCCTTTACTCACTAATGTGCTAGCCCTGTACCTCGAGACGTACTTAACCTGTGTTGCCTTGGAGTGGAGGGGTAGCTCTAGTCATGGGCCAAACAGCAGCAAAGTTCTCTCAGACACTGAAACTGTTGAGAGAAGACAGCGAGGAGCTGACCATCGTAGAGCTGGAGGGAGTCTACCTCTCAGAGAAAGAACTGAGGAAGCTAGGAGATGCCTTGAGGACTAATAGGTAATATACTTGTATTATTGTTATTAGTATTGTTGTTGTTATTGTTATTGTTGTTTTTATTTGGCAGTGTAAGCCTTGATTGTTTGTAAATGAGTTTTAGGTATGAGAGTACAAGTCTCAGTCTTGATGGTATGGGTTTTATATGTAAGCAGTTTTTTAGATACGCATCAAAAATTTAACTAGCTCAACAAAATTGTAATTTGACTAGAGATCATTTACTCTTGAGGAGGTTATGTGATATAATGACGTGACGATTGTAGGATAATTATAGCATTACAATTAGTCATGTCCTCGTGCATGTTGTCTGTACATGTACAATGTATAAACCATGATATCAAAGCGTGTACTAAACTAATGCAGAACCTACTAAGCATCAAGATATTTGCCCAAGGCAAAGCCACAGATGTGTATTGAACTTTCTACTAACTTGACCCGAATCTACTCTCTGACACATACCATGTACTATTACTCTCTCCCTCTCTCCTTTTCCTCCCCTCCCTCTGTGTGTGTGTGTAGTTTATGAATATTGTTAATCTGCTAGCTGATAGTTGTGATTGGGCATAGACTTTCACATAATGAATTAATGAAGTCACACATGCCACGTCAATAATCTAATATTACCACTCTCTCTCTCTTCTTTCAAAATCTCTTATGTCTTAGGCATGTGCGTCACTTAATTCTGACTGGGTGTCAAGTCAACAGATTAGGTCTCCAATACATATCAGATGCTCTATGCAGTGTGGTGCATATCAGTAATGTCACTAAAGTCAATCTCTCTAATAATAGAGATGTGAGTGTAGTAGTGTACTTGGCTCTTTTACACAGCATAGTTTCTGTTCCTCTGTGTCAAATCTCGTATGAAGAGTATGATTTCATAGTTTCTGTTCCTCTGTGTGTGTGCGTGTGAAATGTTGTATTTTGTCACTTTGCGTGTGTCTTTTCATGTTGCTATTTTTCTCTGAGTGAGTTCAAACGCTTAATGAATAGAGGAATGAAAGGAGTGAGCAGGGCATGAACCATAATATAGTCAGAGTAAATAGAAAAACAACACGTTAGACCACACATGTACATGTACTTATGCACACAGTGCGAATGTGACATGTACATACACAAACATCTTCACTCACACAATCACAGAGAGAGAAATGTGTGAATATTAATGCCCATGTATACCCTCAGTGCATTATTTTATCATGGAGCTCTTAATCATTTTTGATTAGTGTCGGTGTATAAACAGTGTACTGTGAGATTGTGTGTGTTCATGTGTTATTGGAATGCGTCACCCTTTTCCTATAATAGCATATCATGTTCTACAGCTCATTGTTGCTATTTGGACTCTTAATGATGAGATAGATTGGATGCTCAGCTCGTATTACACCTTAGAATCCTAGCAATTTTTACCTTGTTACATTTGCTGGGGGTTGTGTTACATGAAGCATGCTCCTGTGTACATACATTAGACTATTGAGTGTTGACTGTGTCATCTTTCTTTCCTAATGTATATCATATTCGTGTCTCTTATATACGTGTATTTGTATGTCTCTAGTTTGGTCAAGAAGGTGCAGGGTATCTTGGTAATGTATTGGAGAACAATAAAGTATTACAGATACTGATTATCAACAACTGTGGACTGGGGGATTCTGGGGTACAACACATAGCCAAAGGTATAGCAAAACTATGGTCTTTATTTGGTTTTAATAAGAATAGGAACTGCCTTTGCTATTTATTTTAAAATATTTTTCTGTATTATAATTAATGATTATTTCTAATGCAGGTTTATGTCACAACCATACGTTACTTACACTCGAAATCGGATCCAATCAAGTCACTGATGTTGGAGCAGGATACATGAGTGAAGTATTCAAAATGAACAAGAAACTCGAAGGACTCTCTTTATGGCAAAATGAAATCACAGCTGAAGTAAGAAAGGGATTGCGACAACATATGCTTATTTAAAGCGGAATTTTTTGTCGATTATTAAGATACTTTACATTTATTGATGAATGTTATTAATTTTAGGGTGCTCACTTTTTGGGTGAGGGCCTTCAGTTAAATCGATCGCTAAGATGGTTAGGCCTCGGGCAGAATACCATCGGGCCTGATGGAGCGTGGGAACTGGCAGTGACGCTACAAAACAATGCAACAATACTCTGGCTCGGATTAGGAGCTAACGAACTCGGGGACAAAGGAGCAGAACACATCTCTAATCTACTAGCAGCTGGTGAATATGAGTGATGTGTGTGTGTGTAGGCCTGATAGAAGTAGAATGTGTTGATCTGTTTGATGAGCGCATTCTTTTTTAATGATTTATTGTTTATGACTCTAATAGGTAATATTAGTAGATTAAAGTCAATTGGTCTTGGGGGTAATGAGATTCATGATGACGGTGCAATGTACTTGGCAAGGGCACTCAAAAGCAACATGAGGTTGGAGTCACTAGGACTAGGCGGTAACTTAATAGGTCAGTCCTGGTGTGGCATTAATGGTATATTGTTAGTTGTATTATCCATGGGATGGGAGGTGGTTTACTGTATGCATGTAGTTCATGGACTTTTGCCAAAATTATAGCTTCTGGGAAAAATACATGTGCATGTGCATGTCATGAATTTTTGAGTCATGACATCTGAAAGATGTGGCAATGTTGATATTTCCCTTTCATTGTTTTTCTCTCATTTGTAGCTGATAAAGGTGGCCTTGAATTGGCTGAGATGCTAAAGAGGAACATGTGTCTAAAGAAGTTGTTATTGTCGAGCAATTTGTTAGGTATGAGGATAAAGCAAACCATCACATTCCATGGAATAGTTTTGCGAATGGGCAGTAGTGTATCTTACTGGCTGACTGCACACACTGCCCTTTGATAGTATCATAATTGATAGTGTACACACTCTTTTGATTATAATAGCCGTCTCCCTCCCTCCCCCTTCTCTGTGTTGTTTAGTTCTCTCTTCTGCTTCTTTTCATTTATTCCTTCTCTTCTTCCATTAATAATAAATACTCTTTTTTTCCTTCTTTTCTAAAGGTGACACTACTGTTAGTGCTATAGCCGAATCTCTTACAGTAAATCGATGTCTAGAAATGTTACTAATAGCTGAAAACCCGTTCAGCGACGAGGGAGGCACCAATTTATCATCCGTCCTATGTCAGTCAGAGACATCGTTAAGAATAATGGATATACAGGGAACTAGAATGTCACCTGATGTAGAAAGAAAGGTAATGTACCGTATACTGGGAAATTTTCGAGTAGCCAAATTTTGCATTTTTTGCTCCGTCGCGAAAATAAAAATCGCGAAATTCTAAATTTCCATTGTCACGTGGTGGAGTATACAAGCTATTCGCGAAAATATTATTTTGTGAAATCTTACAAATGCAAAATTCGCGAAAATTTAGTGATGCAAAAATATCCCAGTATATGGTATATACTTGTACTTGGGAATCATAAATGTATTTACTTGCAACCTGTTTCTTTCATTGATATGATTCTTTTATTATTCGCAATAGATAATATTAGATTTAGAGAGTCAGAGTAACTTGGAGAGAATAGGGTCAAAATTTGCTTCTAAGCACACATCAAGCAATGGAGGTATGGCATTACTTTATTGTATCTAATATTGTTGATTGGTTGCACATTTTGTTTATTACCAAGTACTAAATGTTTGATGTTTGCATTCTTATTATTTGTTCCCTTTCTCTCTCTAGCAATAAGAAAAAGACATCATTCAAACAAAGCTAGACCAAGTGAACTGTCTTTATAAAAATTATTAATTTTGTGTATATTTCCCTTCCTCTTTTCTTTTTTTCTCCTGTGTCTATAATTATTATTGCTTTTTGTTATATTCCACATTAAATTTGTATTCATTGTTTCTGTTTGCCATTATTTTTATTGAAATTTTAATGCAATACAAAAATTTTTTGATGCTTGTTCCACGTGTACTCCGTATTCTCTATTTTGTATAATTTCCGGATATCCGACCACGTGTAAGATCAATGGGCAATGGCCGAGGCAATGGCAGAATTAGAAGTAAAGAAAGCTCGTGTTTGCGATACTTGTGGCTCAATTGATGGTAGATACTGTTGCCCGGGCTGTAATAAGAGGTCCTGCAGGTGAGTGAGGACTATTAGACACCATATATGTACCCAGCCCTCAGTCTAGGTTGTGTGAATAAGCATAAAGAAGCAACTGGTTGCTCTGGTAAGAGGAACATCACAGAGTTTGTCCCTCTCTCTCAATACAATGACTCTAATTTTTTTAGCGGTGAGTATTTAGAAATTGGATAGTACAGAGTCTTTGGCCAAATTTTGTCAAAAATGGCTATAAGAGTTTTATATAATTTTGTCTGATGCATATACATGTACTTATGTTGTGTAGAAAGTTTGAGCGGATTCCGATCAAAATTGGATTTTTTATGGCTTTTGAAAGTTGCTCCCAATGCCATTTTTACTATATTGTAGTACTCATCAGTTCATGAAGCACTCTGTGTAGCTCACTTAGCATGCTTTGTGGGAAACCCTGCATGCAGGTTAGAAGAAAGCTAATACAGTTATGTTTCTCTTTATTTTTTATAATGATAGATTATTTTTATCTCGAGAATGTAATACGTTTCTCTGACTCGGTCTCTCGCGACAAAGTAAAGAGAGTCAACCACCAACACTGGAAAAGGGGAAAACAAGTAGAAGAATGTCGTAGTAGCATTGCCGGGATATTTATCTTGTTTTATCTTATGCAGATGTCTCGTTTAAAGACTATTGCGAAAAGTCATGGTGTCAATCTATTCCTGGCTCCCATTGGATTGGCTAGCCACAAAACAAACACCTCATACGTATCGTTTGACCCAAAAACAAGGTACAGCACATAAATTATAATTATTGTATTATTGCATGAGGGGCAAGAGTAGATGATAGGCGGATGAGTAGGTATTGATTAGCATTGTAAAGTTAATCGTGTGATTTTTAAAATTATTTCTAGAGCTCAGACTATCCATTGGAAGATTCAGTGGCATTTTGTTGATAGTGGTCTGGACTATTCTGATAAAAGGTCGGTCAGTTATACTTTTATTTCACTTTAGCATTTACAGTCAAGTCATCTGCTTGTTACAGAAACTTGCTATAAAATAGTTCTCAATTTTGTTGATAATGTCAACCAGAGCTTTGAGCTTCCAAAAAAACAGATTATTGAGTTTTAAATAATATTAGTGTATCAGAGAAGACCTTGCTTCAAGACCTATTGGATAAATACTTGCATCCAACATCAAGCAATCCACTGGTTCGTCACAGGTACATGTACATGTCTTTTGATAATGTGGCATGTGACTTCTTTTTTGAAAGGTTGAGGAAGTATGTCAGTAGTGTTACTAATATCAAGGTTTTTATGAAAGTGGAACGCAGAAAAGGAAAAAAGTAAGTTATTGTTTACATATATGCTACTGTCAGATATGGGGTCGATTATGTTTAGGCATTAACTGGAATAAACTATTGCATGCAATTTACTATTGAAATTCTGTTATTAGTGTATTTACAGTTTAGCCAAGTTTTGAGCAACTTAAAAAATTGTAAAAATTCCAACTTTATTCGGAATGAGCTCAAACTTTCTACGCAACATAAGTACATGTATGTGAATCAGAAAAAACTATAAAAGTCAAGAATTCTCACTTTTTCATTTTTAGCAAAATTTGACCAATGACACTGTACTATAGTACAGGGATGTTTACCCGATTTTTGAAGCAGCTTTAAAAATTCTTAACAAATTCAATTTTGATCGGAATCAGCTCAAACTTTCTACGCAACTTAAGTACATGTATGTTCATCAGAAAAAGTCATAAAAATGAAGAAATCTGTCATGGCCATTTTTGACGAAATACCCTGTACTATTATTATAGCCCACCCATGGTTTTTGGCCTGATTATTGATTAAATTAAAAATCCTTCTTACTTGAATCTACTCAAACTTTCTACGTGACATACTTTCCCTTAATTTATTCCTATTGTTAATGCTAAACTCTTGCTCTTTCAGTGTATACTATTTACTGGACAAGTCTCTCTCACTGGGTAGCAATCTCAATGGTAAACTGATAATAGAGCATCCTGTGTTCTGGGTGACTTGCTCCACCGAGAGGGAGAAAGAGTATCCTACGCTGGAGACACAGAACAGAGAGGGAGCTGATGAACAAGTAGTGGTGGAAGAGACCAGAGGGATGGATTGTGATTTACCAGTTACTCCTGAGTGCTTGACAGATGAGAAAGGAGTAAATAAAGGTTTGATTTATGAGATGTGCCACTATTCATTTAAAATCTTTTTGTGCATGTAGATAAAATTATTGACCATGATGAGCTCAGTTATGATGAGAAAACTGGTGATGCAGAATTCGAGCAGCTCTCACATAAAACAGAAGAAAGGAAATTGCTACAAACATCAGTACATGTGAATGGTGAGTATCCCAGGATCTTGTGAAACTTTTTTGTCTTTTTGTTTCATGTGTACTGGTTTATTTTGTAATATTTGTTTAGGTCAGTCACTGGTGACTCCTGGGTCAGATTCCTCCATTCATGAACACAATAAAAGCAACTATGCTTTTCATTTGATTTCAATGTACAATGAATGATAATGCAACGACACTCGTTAAATGATGATGGTATATTTGATTTCCCTTGCCAATCTATTCAAGTTGATCCTACATGTACTATGTACTTTTTATCAAATTGAAAAAAATGTAATTAATACTATAGGCTTAGGTTGTAATGTGTATGCAATCAATGCTATAGTAGTTTAGCCAGAGTTAATCACTCAATCTTAGTCTTCAGTGTCCGGATCCTCTCCAGGAAAGTTGGATGATGATGATGAAAATTAGCATACAGTGGATCAGCAACAGGAAAGCTCAGATTATCCTTGACTAATTTAGTGAGGGCACTAGAGAGTGGACCTCCTCTCTTCATCTTAGTGGCAAAGTCATCAGCTTGATACTCATAGCTACGCATGAGTTGTACTATTAGGAATCCATAGAGGATGTTGTATGGGGAGAATATCATCTCTGTGACTATAATGAGCCCAATGATGACTGGGCGGGTAGAGAAACCAAAACTCTCATACATGTCTTGCTGGTTGAGAAAATACCCAAAGATCGCAAAGGTGAGAAATATGTTCACCTATAAAGAGTATTAAAATAATAATCAGCTATTATATACTTTAAGTAAATACTTGGTTCATGGCCATGAGTTTCAGAGTGTGACTAAAGTTCCAATGCCCCAGCTCATGACAGAGGACAGCTAGAATCTCCTCAATATTGCAACCAGTTGTCTTGTCTTTTTTCTCATCCGTGCTAGGAGGCTCTTCTTTACTCATTTCCTCTGTCTCTTCTTCTTCGTTCACTTTCTCCTCTTCTTCGCTCACTTTTTCCTCTTTTTCGTTCACTTTTTCCTCTTCTTCATTTACTTTCTCCTCTTCTTCATTCACTTTCTCCTCTTCTTCATTCACTTTCTCCTCTTCTTCATTCACTTTTTCCTCTTCTTCTTTGTCATCAGTCTCTGATTCTTCTTTCTTTTTGTCATCTTCTGATGGTAGAATCCCTTTCTCTATGAGTGTATCATATAAGACTATTCTCTTGTTGCTTCCAAAACCATAGAAATAAGCATTGCTGTGAGCTGATCTAGAAAAAAATATAAAAAAAAACTTATTATAGATGTACATTATTTCATACTTGCCTTTTTGAGCCTTCAACTATATAAAGTTTTTTAAGGGGAAACTTGAGGCTGCTAGCCAACTCTTCAATTTTTGTCTTCAACTCGCTATCAGGCAGAGGAGTGTACTTGTCAAAGCAAGGAGCAATGAAGTCATGGTATGTCATTATTAATATCTTTAGGAATGGAGAGGAAGAGTAAAAGAGAATGAATGTGCTATGACTTCTCATACCACTATGATGATAAAGACAAAGCCTCCAGCGTAAAGGAAGAAATAGGTTCCGCCCCATTTAACAATGAAGACTATTCCAGCAATGACTGGAGGAATGAGGGCACATTGTAAGACCAGAGACTTGAACGAGTCCTTGATGAAAAACCCAAGAGTCTACAAAGAAATAAAGATATATTATACTACAGCTGGTGGAATAAATTAAGAGAGAAAGGAGTAGAATAGCAACCTGCTTATTGAAGCCATGTTTCTCTTCAATTATAAAAGTGTGATACGCTTTCCACGGTTTGTCTGAGAGGAAACTATACAATAAGCAAATGAAGATGAAGACATAGGTCTGTAACACCTGCAATTGATTTTAAAATAATAAAATTTTGTACTGACGAATACCCTTATGCTGCACAAACCTCATAATCAGGTCCATAGCCAAAGTAGGAACAAGTATAGATGGAGAGATCCCAGACTAATGGTAGAGCCCCAATGAATATGATAACCTAAAACGTGTAAATAAATTGTGACAATTAGAGGGAATTGATGATTTACCATGAATTCCAATACTTTATACACAGAGTATATGGCAGAGTATGTGCTTTGGTCCAGCTGATAAAGACGGGATTTATCAAACGTCTCTTGATCCAATACACTGGCCAGCTCTTGTGGGACTTTAGTAACAGTCTTGTACACATTACGCTGAATGAGTGGAACCAATCAATAAAGAAAAATCACAATTTTCAAACAAAAAAAGAAAAAAATACAGTTTCTAAATTGGTATATTTTGTTTTACCTGCCTCCAGGATAGGAGAGCTTCCCAGAAAGTTGTTCCAAGGACCAAAAAGACACATATCCATAGGTAATCCATATTGTGTGGGTGGAGCTAATTAGCAAAATAGGTGTGGTCTGTTAACACGTGCTCGCACATGTTATTATGGCTGAAGGTAAGTCTTTAACATAATTATGCTCTTTAAATTAAGTCAAAATCTCAAATTAACTCATTATTAGTGGCGGTTGATCCTTACTTTACAAGGTTTTTCCGGTCAATGCCAGAAGTATGACTGATTTATGCTATTTTATAATTATAAATATAATTTTATTTTAGAAACCAGAGACTACAATCCGTGTTTTTGATCGTGGAGTAAGTGTCATGTGATCCTTTGCTAATTTGTATGTGTACGTACATTGTACAGGATTATTATACAGCTCATGGTAATGATGGACTCTTTGTGGCTAAGGAGGTGTTTGGCTCAACATCTGTTGCTAAATATTATGGATCAGGTTAATTCAAATTTAAAAAAATTAACTTCAGTAATAATTAATAATAATATTATAATCAGAGGGTAACAAAGTTCCTTCAGTCTCGCTGAGTAAATTAAAGTTTGAGTCGTTTGCTCGTGACCTCTTGTTAGTGAAAAAGTATCGGATTGAGGTTTATCGTAATAAAGTGAAATCTGGTAATGATTGGTTCCCAGCTTACAAGGTTATTATTATTATTATTATTATTTATTATTATTATTACTATTTGTTATTATTCATAGGCATCTCCAGGCAATCTTCAACAGTTGGAAGACATCATTTTCAATTCCAATCTCCAAGGCGACTCTTGTACTGCCATGGCTATACGACTTTCCTCAAAAGACGGCCAGCGAGTGAGTGTATCCTTTTACTACTCTTCACTTATAGAAGAGTACTCTTCAGGTAGTGGGTGTGGCTTTCTCTGACTTTAGTTCCCAGGAGCTGAAGGTCTGTCAGTTTGTTGAAAATGACAACTTTGCAAATTTTGAGGTAGATATTATTTATACTTGTTTATTTATTGATTTATTTTAATTTTTTTCTGAAGTCATTGCTTGTTCAAATTGGCCCAAAAGAGTGCCTGTTGGTTGCCAAGGATACAAATACTGAGGCCGGTATTATGAAGAAGACACTCCAAAAAGCAAACATATTAATAACTGAAAGAAAGAGATGTTAGGAGTCACTGTCTCTCGCAATATCTCTCTATCTCTCTTTTTTTGTCTTTAGCTGATTTCAATAGCAAGGACATTGTGCAAGATTTGAATCGTTTGCTAAAAACTGAAAATTGTTCTTCCCTGCGTAAGGACATGTATTGTGTACATGTAAAGTACATGTTTATATTAATTATTATGATCTTTGTTACTTTTACATGTATGTGTGTAGCTGAACTGGAGTTGTCTTTGTCCATGGAAGCACTCTCGGCCATTATTAAATATTTGGAAGTAACACCATTTACAAATAGTAATTATGATTTTATTAATTCTTTTTAGTTGTTGTCTGACGAGAGAAACTTTAACTCGTTTAGTCTCTCACAGTTTGACATGAACCGATACATGAGACTGGACACAGCTGCTTCACTGGCACTGAATGTTGAGGCAGGCCAGGGAGAGAACCAGGCTTATAGCTTGCTAGGTGTACTCAACCACACTCGCTCACCTCAGGGACAAAGACTTCTCAGACAGTGGATCAAACAACCTCTTACTGACCTCAAACATATCGGTGAGTTAGAGAATGGGAGAGAAGGAGGGAATTTTTATTGGTGCAAATTTGCCAACTGTTACTTTGTGCATAATTAGTTATTGCAAGACTACAGCAAGAGTAGATAATTATCTACTGTTGGTTATTTATTCATTTGCTGAATCAGTATATATAGTGCTGACTGTAGCAGTGATAACACAAACTGATAGCTTTGATGATGTTTATCATTCATAGCAACCAATTTTGTTTATACTGAACTCTACCAACGACTCTACTCAGATCAACATTAACTTAGCTTTAAATTATTTTTACGTAATTATTTATTATTTATTTTATAGCATGTTTACTTCTTGCTTCTTTCATGATGTCTTTCCTTTCTTGTCTTTCCCTCTATTTTTTCTTTTCTCTCTTGTTCTTCCCTTCATTAGTTGAAAGACAGAATCTTGTTGAATTATTTGTAGATACTGTCACTCTTAGACAGTCAGTTCAAGGCAGAAGTTTAAAGATTATTCCTGATCTTTTCCGTCTCTCTAAGAAGCTCCAACAAGGAAAAGGAACTTTACAGGTTTACTGGTTCTACAATCTTTGCTCTATCTTTATATGTGTTTCTCTCTCTTCTCAGGATTGTGTCATCATTTATCAAGCAGTACAAATCCTACCCACTCTAACTGATGTACTCAATAGCTATAATGGTAATCATGAGTCGCTACTAAAAGAAGTTTTCATTACACCATTAGAGGTATATGTGTGTGTGTGTGTGTCAACTAGTGAATTTTATTAAATTAATGATTTTTAGCGTACACACATGTAGTTTGTTTTAGCAAAAACATGTTACTTAACGACCTACATGTACTTGTATGTACACGTATATACACACACACCCACTCATCAAAGCATTTACAGTTTACACCAACTCATTAGTACTCATTGTTATGACAACAGTTTTTATGGTAAATGTCTTTTAATGGTATAATTTTTGTCCTAGTAGGAATTGGCTGATGATTTTATCAAGTATCGTGAGATGATTGAGACAACGATTGATCTTGACATGATACAGCATCACGAGTATCTTATTAAACCTTCTTTCGATGAAGAACTGCAAAGTAAATAACGACAATGAACGTGTTTATTGAAAATAGTATTGATGATGTCAGTGCATCGCCCATTCTTTGATTTTATTAGATTACCAATCTCATGATTTTGTTTATTAATATTTACTACAAAATAATTACTATGAGTACGAAAGTCATGCAGCGTATAGTACAACCCCTACTACTGTTACTTTATTATTATTATAAATTTAGTGTTTTAGTAATTTTAAGATTTAGTGCCATATGTCACCTTTAGTCATGATAATGACTCACATTGTCTGTATAATTGTATAGAGCTACGTGATAACATGAGCAGCATTGAAGAGAAGATGAACGTCATTTATAAAAAGGTTAGTATTCGTTGCTATTATTAGTAACGTTAGCTTGATGACGTCATGTTCTTATGTCTAATAACAGACTGCATCTGATCTGTCTCTTGATGTTGGTAAGACTTTGAAACTTGAGAGTAATTCACATTTAGGATATTACATGAGATTATCAAAAAAGGTGACACACGCTCTTCATTCCCTTTAACTTCAGCATCCTCCTATAACAGACAGAGAAGTTGATACGTGGCCAGAAGAGGTTCATAGTTTTGGATGCTCGTAATGAAGGAGTCCGGTTCACCGTGTCTCCTCTTAAGGTCCTCAGTGAAGAGTACCAGGGGCTTCAGAGAGTCTATAACCAGCAACAGGACAAATTTGCTAGAGAAGTAGTCCAGATTGCAAGTACGTTGATTGCTTGTTATAATAATTAAGATGCAGTGTAATAGTATTGATATTATTACTGTTTAACACTCTAGTTGCTATGCATTTCTGACTTGTCGACATGAGAATAAGTTGTTTTGTACGTAGGACGAAGTTTTGCATGATAAGCAATGCTCCAGTGTTATTATTAGTAACGAGGGGATTATTGCCAATTATAGCAGTAACAAGATATAGTGGGTGTACATAGTACGTATATATAGTAGGTATGTAGTGGTGTACTAGCATTAGATGCAATATCTAATTAAGTAGTTCTAGTATTTGCAATATTTTTGTTTATCTTTGTCAATAAACCCACTTATTTAAAACGTCATCACCTTATTAAGCAATTTTATCCGTCCACTGAACATGAGGGTGGGCAATGAAACTATAGTATTCTCAGTGGCAGTATCAATAGTTTCTTAATAATATTACATTTACTCTTAAATGAACAAATTGCTGTGATGTCACAAATGATCACACCTATGTTATTAGTTGCTTTGTGTGTCATTACACATCATTAGTTTTGCTTTCCATTTATAACTTGATATTGTTATCTGCTGCCTTATCTACCATGAGATTATTTTGTATAATCTTTAATTATCTTTTCCTATTTTGACTCATGTCCTTGTAATAATTGTAAACATGCAGACCTCCATCAGAGCATTGGAACCCCCTCTTGTTGTAAGCTTAGCTGTTCTTGTATGCTGAGCTGTTTGTAGTGGGAGTACTCATAGGGTGAATCCCTCAAGCAATACAAAACCTACATAATTACATTTAAAATGTACATGTACAAATGCTTTGCTCTATTGAATTTAGTAGTATCATTAGTTACTCGATTGATACTAATAGTCTACGCTCTCTTTGATGAAACCATTCATTAATCGTTATTTGTATACCATTGAAGTATTATGTGTACTGACTCTGAGCTGTTGTTTATAGTAACGAAGGATTTATTGAAAATATTAGACATGTAGATGTAACTAATAACATGCTGAATCTTAGCAAAATTCACTTCCCTTCCTATGTATTGTGTACATTGAGTTAAAGGAAGATGTGTACAAGTTCACTGTATGTGTACTATACACTATTGCTATTGTGCTATTGTCTATTGTTATACAGGTGGATACACAGGTCCTATTCTTACTTTCAATGATCTAACAGCACACATTGATGCACTGACAAGGTAAATATGCACTAGTATTATGAATGAATGGGTTTCCCACAAAGCATGCTAAGTGGACTAAGCAGCATGAGCTTCATGAGCTGACAAGCACTATAATGCAGTGCTTGACATTTTGAGCCACTTTAAAAATTCATAAAAAATCCAAATTTGATCAGAATCAGCTCCAAGTTGATACACAGTATAAAGACATGTATATGTATCAGGAAAAAATATAAAAATGGAGAATTCTGTCGAAGTCATTTTTTGATGAAATTTGGCCAACGACCAAAGGTTATAGCCTTTGGTTGTTGGCCCTATTTTTGAGCAACTTTAAAAATTCATAAAAAATCCAAATTTGATCGGAATCCACTTAAACTTTCTAAGCAACATAAGAACATGTATATGTATTAGAAAAAAATATAAAAATGAAAAATTCTCTTTTTGTGATTTTTGTCAAAATGCCCTGTACTATAGTACAGGCCTATGGGGTCTTAATTACAATCCACTGAGCAAAATCCTGTTGGAAACCCTGTGAATGAACTCAATGAAGTTGTTATTTTGAATACTTGTGGCCAACTGGGAATCATTATAATAGGTAGCCTAGCTTTCACCTTCATTGTGGGATTAAACTTTAAAGAGCTTCAATTTGTATATAACTTCATTATCCCTCGAGATAGATAACATCAATCATGTATAATATTAACTTGATCAATGTATAGTTAGTGATATTAATTTGATGGTCTTTAAATTTGATTAGAGATATATTAGGTCATCATGTTTTTGCCAAAGTGCTCTCCAAATTAGCAATAAATGTTGGCTTTTGCCCAAATATGGTAGCTCCTATTAAAAGACAACATACTTTGCCTTCTGTTGACATATATATGTTTACTTACCTTGCAAAGGAAACTATATTATGAAAGTAAATGATGACAAGGACTATACTGTAACTTCACTTGCATTCAACCATGAGAGAGAGGGAGGAGGGAGATGGAGTCTGGAAAGCTCTATTTTTTGATGATGTACATTGAATACATTGATACTTTATTATTTTTGACAGTTTGGCAGAGGCAGCCACTTCTAGTCCGCTGGGTTACATAAGACCCTCCATTACTGATAAAGGAACCGGTAATATTGTACTCACTGGGGCGAGACATCCTTGCCTTGAGAAACAAGATGACATATCCTTCATTGCTAATGACGTGTCCTTATTGAGAGGTACATGATAATGTGTATTGTTAGGAAGGGAGGGGGGAACAAGGGATTGGTAGAATTTGGCACTGACGGATACAGCTACATGCTAAAGTGCATGTGTCTGTAGCCATCATGTCTTTGTTTGTATTGAGGGAAATGAAGAGGAAGCTAGAGGAAGTGAAGGAAGTGTATGTAAGGGACCATTGAAAGGGGAACATGATATGATATGATAATATGAATAGGTCAATTCATGGAATATATTGGTTCAATTGAAAGCATAGCATCCTATTGATTATTATCATAGCTGTGTGTACTATACTATTGTGGTTTTTCCTGACTCATTTCAATGGATTCTGTTTTGACTTTTTTTTAGGTGAAGATGAGTTTCAAATAATCACTGGACCCAATATGGGAGGAAAGTCAACATACATTAGAATGGTAACTCATAGACATCATCATCCTTTATAGTTTACAACAACAGTCTCATGAGAAGTCAATAAACTATAAGTACATTATGCTGATAGCTATGAATTTGTAATGGCTTTGTGTGATATTGGTTATTAGTTTGGGTTATAGCTGGCTGCATCAGTGCCTGGTTGTGTCTGTGGCAGCAGCTGCTGTTTATTATTGCTCCATAAATAAAAGTAATTTATTTACCAATCAACAGCTGGTATATACTGAGGTTTCTCAAAGCATTTCAAAACATTCAGATCATTTATAGGATATTGATAGCTATAGCTTGGCAATATCATAGTTGTGTATTTAGAGTTTATCTATACATTATTTATGATGTTGCTGTTGTTATTTGGTCATGGGTTGATCCCATGCTAGGTTGGGGAACTGACTCAACTGAGTGTCTAATATTCATAGCTATAAGACTGAGATCATTGTTTATGTCATTTTACATTTATTTTTTTGGTGTTTTCTTAAAGTTCCATATTGATATATGCTTTATAGTTGTCTTGTGTGTCAATATTTCCTTTAATTCTTATTAACTCTATGTCATCATTTATGTACCTATACATGTAGATTGGTGTTATTGTACTGATGGCTCAAGTTGGCAGTTTTGTTCCTTGTACGTCGGCTAATATCAGTATAGTCGATTCAATACTGGCTCGTGTTGGGGCCGGGGATTCACAGCTAAAGGGCGTGTCTACTTTCATGTCTGAAATGCTAGAGACTGCAACTATACTCAAAGTATTGCTATATTAACAATGGTTTCCTGGTTATGATGAAGGTGTGTGCTTCTCTCTCTTTCTCTCTAGACTGCTACTAGGAATTCTTTGATAATTATTGATGAGCTTGGTAGAGGAACTTCGACTTATGATGGATTTGGTTTGGCTTGGGCAATTTCACAGTAATTATTTTTAAAATAGTATTCATTGCTGTTGAATCAGCATTAATTTTATTTTGTTTATTGGGGTAATTCCTCTACAGCCTTACATGTAGCCATGATTATTATTATTATTAGTGTAGTAAACATAATCGTTTTTAGAAATTAACTGATAATTGATTTCACTATAATGATTATTCTTTACTTAATTAGGCACATAGCTACACAGATACACTGCTTCTGTCTCTTTGCAACTCATTTTCATGAGCTCACTTCACTCTCAGACACTGTACCAACTGTCAGCAATCGTCATGTAACTGCAATCACTTCTTCAGACAATACACTCACTTTACTTTATAAAGTCAACAAAGGTCTTGTGAAAAGTTTTAATGAATTTATTATTATTTTCTAAAGGTGTTTCTGATCAAAGTTTTGGTATTCAAGTGGCTGAAATGGCTCACTTTCCCAGTGAAGTTATAAGCTATGCACGTCAAAAAGCTGCAGAATTGGAGCTTTTCTATAACAAGGGTATGTAAAGCAAGGACTGTATGGACTCGTGCTAATGTTTTTGCAGGTGAAGGATCTATTGATGAACCAACTGCAAAGAAGAGGAGAACAGAAATTAAAGTTGGATCATGCAGTACTTCAATGTTGCATAATGTTGTGTATGTAGGAAGGAGAAGAATTGATTGATAGCTATTTGAGGAGGATTGATGCTCTATCATTAGAGACAATGACAGATAGCGAAATAACAGAAGAGCTCAGATCAATGAGGGAAGAAATACTAGCTCAGTCAAATAATTCTTATTTAGTCGGAATAATAAGCTGAGCTGTTCAAACTCTAAACCTATAAGAACCCCTGGTATAGTCCCTATATTATGAATCACATTAACATGCATTTGTGTTAATCATGATAATTGTTATTCTATATAATGATGTCAGTTTCAACAACACTCTCTAGCTGTGCATACATTAGTAAACATGTTGACTGCTGCTATAATAGAAGGGAAAGCATAATGAAGGGAAATTTCAACAATTTTTTCTATGAGATCAATAAGCAGTGTTGCTTTACTTCCTATACAAACATTCTTAGTTCCAGGAATCCAGCACTACAACGTCTTTGAAATTCCTGGTATAGTACCACTAATTCCAAGAATACTACATAATAATATTCATTGCCATTGCTTTGTAGTTTCAGTGCCACGTTTGATGTTGACTATGCATTTATTCATTAAAAATTAGGGGGAAAATACATTTTAAACTAAAAAATATGAATTATGTTTATGAAAAAATTCTCAACGCATCTTCTTTCCTGACCCTGCATATAGGACAGAGCAGTAATTGTTCTGAGCAGTCGTAACAAACACACAAGTGCCCACATGGAACTATGGCATATTGTTTTCTGTTGTCTAGACACACAACACAAACATTATCTTCTAAAGTGCTATCTGCTAGCTCCTGATTCAATGATGAGATGGGACTTTGTGTGTAATGAGGTAGAGAGTAGTTAGTACTGGGCCTTTTCTGGATTTGTGCTAATGGCATGCTTTTTGTTGCATTAGAGGCTTCAGAATCTTCAAGACCCTGAGGTCTGTATATATTTTGTAGCTGTGTCCTTGTCATTATTGGCTTTGGAAAAGAGCTGACATCTTCAGGATCTTGTAGCTGGGCAATCTTGCAGTCTGGATTCATCATTATGTGTACAGCTGCTGGGCCCTTTCCTTCCATGCATTCTACATCAGCTTCAATATTGCATGACCAACATTTGACTCTTGGTACTGGATTAGTAGAAAGAAGATAGAAGCCAGACTGTACTAGATCACTAACTGAAACAATGCTTTTGCTAGGGTAATACCTGAATGATTGTAAACGGGTGTCTTCTTTGGAATAATCAGGCAAAGATGATACAAAAGAGCATTTGTTTGACAATTTTTTGTGTATTTCTAGTGGATCATCTCCTTTCTTCCAGTCTTCATTCTGGCAGCCACAGGCAAAGCAACGAGTGATGTCATCTTTACCAGTGTAAAACCAACCAGCTTTACTAAGATCTGATCCACTGATGTCTCGTGGTATTGGCCAGTATTGAAATGAAGATTCTCTGACCTTTGAATCTTTGTACATTGAAAAAACTTCATTTTCTGAACAAATCCCTTGTATTTGATCATAATAATTTTCTCTTATGTGCTTGCAATTAGGATTCATTTCAAAGTGGCGAAAAAGCACATCATCTTTTGACTTCCATCCCTCTATCTTTCCATGACACGAAAAGCATTCAGTAATGTCTTCATGACCAGTGAAATAAAAACCATATGATGCCAGTGATGTGATTAATGCTGGGTCATTGGTCCAGGAAGGCTCCATATTGAACGTTTTCACTCTCATATCATAGCATGACAAATCAAGCCGCTCCTTTTTGTGTTTCTTTACACCTTTTTGCACTCGAACAATTGGCATTTTAACCTCATTAGCAAGCTTAGAGCTAATTGCAGAGCGACTAGATTTTATTTGTGGGCTGACTGACCTTTTTCTCTCTTTTCTGCTTTCTCTTTCTTTTGATCTACTAAGCCTCTCTTGTCCACTATTTTGACTAATGCTTTTGTGATATCTTGGCTTAGCTACTTGGTCATAGTAACAACTAGCAACTACCATTTCATCTTTTCTTCTAGGTAGTGCTCGTTGACTTGATGATGGGTAAAATGATTGATTTAGAGGCATTCCTCCTACTAGTTCAGCTCTTCTTGAAGGATTACTGTAGTTGCTGCTTGATTTTTTTCTATTCTCCCTGTCCCTTCCATCTTTTTGAAATTGTTGCGAGTCTTTCAAAGAATCACCATCAGCACTAACGTCTCGACTTACTAAAAAATTTCTATAATGATCTCTTGAGAAATTTTCAGCATGACTGTAGTCTCTGGTTGTTGTGGTCGTGCCATTGGACATGTTGTTGTACCTACAAGTACAAAAAAGATTCTCGGTAAAGTCAGTATAATAGATCCTCGAGCCTATCTAGGGTAGCCTAGCTAGCTAGCCAGGGTTAATCAGTCTACACTGACACCATGCCATGGTCACATGGTTCTAAAACAAACACAGCAGTCTATACCTTCTGAAAATCAATTGGAATTTGGAAAAGTCAAAGCCAGTTACTTCTAAAAAGCCTAGCTATAATCAACAAAAGATTTAATTACAGTTAATACAGTACCGGTATAAGCGACTAATTCATAATTCCAGTACCAAATCTAACCACACCCTTTATATATTTTTGCTGTTTTAAAAGCAGAAACTGGCACACACATGCAACTACAATCACAGCATAAATTGCACACTATCTAAGCACACAGCACACATTTATGCATCTTACCTGGAAAGTAGATCTAGTCACTAGATAGAACTGCTTTTGCTGGTATCTGTGACTCAGCAAATGCATGATTGCATTATAAATAGACCATTACATCAAAAGTTCATTTGTTGCACATCACATGTATAATGCATAATGCACCATCATCCACCATGCACTAATAGCATGTCTAGACTAGACTAGAATAGACTGCACTGTACTAGTCCAGTGGCAGGATAGGAGGTTGCATGCTCATTGCATCATATGCGCGCGTCATGTGATGATGATGTCACTTCCTCTAGATACCTACTTTACCTTCATAAAATGGAGGATTCTCTCTCTTTCACTTTAGCAGCAGTTATCTCTCTAATAATACCTGCAGTTGACTAAAAAACGTCAGTACATCCAGATAAAAGATGACTAAACATAACACCATTTTTTCTTTTTAATGCAGTAAAATGTAATTGAGTTGTAACTGGTCTCAGACTTCTTCACCTATCACATTTTATAGATAAATAGGAGTCTGCATACACTTTGCAAGCAAACAATAAGGGCAAAAATAAGATCTGCACTTATTTTAGAGGTGCAGTATCTTTTCCTTTGCTAGAAAAGTGGTTTAGCTAGATAGAGAACAAGTTTGTGCTGACTGAGCAGAAGGTATTATGTTTATTAGTCTTTTAAATAGATGCATTGAACTTTTTGAGTCAATTGCAAGTATTATTAGTGAGATAACTGCTGCTAAAGTGAAAAGAGAGAGAATACTCCATTTTTAAAGAAGGGTGTGGCTTTATTGTCTATTTAAATAACTTAACCCTTTAAGTATGAAGAGAAAAGAAAGGACAAAAGTCAAGTACAGTAAACTAGTCAGCATTTCAAATGATAGAGAAGATGAGTATCATGACGACCAGTTCACAGAAAACAGTCCAGTCAAGATACCTGTTCGTTCCATAGTCTTGGCCACGTTCCTATTTCTTGTTGGTAGTGTGTTACTGATACTGGCTGGTCTATTGATTGGTGGAGTGTTTGGTGATACACCTGATGCTAGTTCAGCCCCTCTACTACTAATAGGCTCCATTACGTTTATTCCTGGTTTTTATCATGTCCGGCTAGCGTATTATGCATGGAAAGGCTACCACGGTTACTCGTTCAGTGACATACCTAGTTATGATGACTGAAATATTATGTCTTTGTCACTTTTTAAATGCAAATGATTGTTATTGAAATGATTGTTATTGAAATCATGTTACAATTTTATAGGAATTATTATAACTTAGTCTTAGTTACAGAGATAATAGAATTCATTGATGTTGTAGGCTTAACTAATTAATGATTATGGTTACTCCCCCGCCATCACTTTAGCTGTTCCTATTACCCCTACATTCTTGCACTTTAATTTTCCAGCCCTAGCCCCTTCTTGCTTCTTCCCTTCTTATTTCTTTTTCTCTGGTGCCCCCTTGTGTGAGGAAGGAAGACCAGCAATGGCTGAGGGGATAGGAGGAGGTGACAAGGCTCAAGCAACGCCAATGGTATCTCTTACTGGAAGAACACCAAAAATGAATCTGCAACAAGTAGGCCTGCTGTGGTGACAATTACTGATTGTTATTTTTAAAATAAAAATATTTTATGAATTTAGAGTCTAAGTCATTGCTTTTTCATTTATACTTTTTTCTTATCTCTATTCAGGCAGTACGTGATGGTCGTGAAGAGGTATTGAGACAATGGCTGGGTCAGCTAACAGAAAAGAAGAAGAGGATACTTATCAATGCATACGACTCTTTTGGCTTCACTGCTATGCATTATGCTGCTAGATTCAATCGCTTTAAAATGATGCAACTCCTTATTGCTAATGATGCCAGTAAGCAAAGGGCCAGGAGAATGGAAGCATTATGCACCTAGCTAAATTACTGTGAATTGCAAGTTAATCTGACCAATCAAATGCCCTTGCTCACATGGGGCAATGGCAATTTGATTGATCAGTTTCATAAGCTTATTAATAATAATCAAATTGCAATTTACTGTGTGTATATATGTACATGTCTTTAGAAATAGAGGGTTTGTTGATTTTAATCAAAATAAAAAACGATTCGTTTATTATGCTTCAATTGTATCTTAAGGCTGATATCATACACGATGCAACATTGTTGCATGCAACAATGTTGCATGCAACATTGTTGCATGCCACATGTTGCATGTAACATGTTGCACCATGTATGATACCCTATTTTGTCGTATGCAACATGTTGCTTGAAGTTGACAACCATTCAACTTGGTGCAACATGTTGCATGCAACAATGTTGCTTTGTGTATGATAGCCTTTAGTTTCTATTGCCATAATTGAGTGTGTGTTACCATGTAATATAGATTACATGTGCATTATATATATATATATATAGCCTTTTCAATGGCTCTTGATTTTGCTGCATTTAGATATTGTGGTATTCTTTGTTAAGTGTGATCATGACACAATGTAACCTTTCATCCCTTGATAGTGTCATAAATATGCTAGCACTATTCATTTCTATTATTCTCTTTCTCCCTCACTTTTCTCTACTCACTTCCTATAGATCCAGAGGTCCGTACAGAAGAAGGCCTCACTCCATTACATTATGCTGCACGCTACACTCCACTCCACTCTAAGACTGGAGGAGAGAATGAAGAGGACTCTGCTCCGGTTACTCTTCGTTCAACAAGCAAACAGATCCTTCAAACCCTAATTTCTTTCTGTCGTGT